TCAAATTAGGAAAACCAAACAAAATTTTGGGCACCTAATTTGAGAGGGTTTTGAAGGATCAGAAAAGTTATTAGAATTATTAAGCCTTACTTGATGTTATGGTGTGCATAGCACACCCTAACAATCTGACACTTCCCTAGCCTGGATACTTATTCTCCATGCCAATCACGATTGGGGGACCTGCCTGACAATCTAAGCAGTTTACTTTTGCAAATCGTATGCAATGATGCAGGTCATTTTCATTCCTGGGCTGCCATATGTTCTCAAATGCAACATAGGCCCAGCAAACCAATTTGACAAATTTCAATGCGTAAAAACTGAAATGGGCAAGCTCTATATTTGACCCTGTAACTTTCCAAAACACCATCAAACCTTTACATAGAGGGCATCACTGTATACAAATATATGTATTTTATTGCAGTAAAAGCGAACAGTATTATGACATTCACAGTTAACACTCAATGCAGAACTAACATTTTTTTGGGTTTCTCACACCTTTTTAGATTTTATTTATATTAAATTATATTTCATACATAAATGTCTGATATGATGAAAGCCCTATTCCTCCCGAACAAAATGATATAGAAGTGTACTTCATATGAAAGACTAAATTAAGGTTGAACAGACATATAGCTCAAATTACATGTTTTATTTTAGTTAAAAACTTGGACAATTGCCTCTGTCCTTAAAGGATAGAAATATTACCACTGGCATTGTAAAGGGTTAAATAATTCCAGCACCGTTGTCCCTCGACGCTTGGCAGCACTCTGTCTCCTCTGATGTCAGACAATGGACGGGGACCTAATATGCAGGCACAGTTAGCACCGGGCGCGCCTTAGGTCTTCCGTGTAGGAAAGCATTGACTGTTTGTCCTCATGGAGAGTGATGATGTCCAGTGTCGTTTCAAGGAAACTAAAGGAAACACCTTTATTGGTTGTCTTGTAGGCTGCAACTAGAGGCAGTCTTAGTATTGCAATGTAAACATTGCAGTTTCCCTAAAAACAGCAATGTTTTATTTGCAGGACTAAGGGTGGCAGGGACTCCTTCAATGAGATTAGGTGGTGCTTATAGTGCCCCTTTAAGGGGTTAATAGGCCATGCACCTCTCTAGCTGGACTTTTTACACAAAGGCATGATGTGTTATTAAGATCCTATTTATTTTTTCCCCTCATTTGGGTAACGCACACTCACTAATCAGAACACTATCTTTTGTTTTTTTATAATTCTTTATTTTTGTCGTGCAGTGGTGATACATCAGTAAAGAAAGACATTGGTTACACAAATAAACAAAAAGGTAAGCCTTGCAGATGTCTAACTAAGGTGCACTTTTTTTTTTTTTTTAAATAGAAGTATATAACAAGATAATGCAGGGTAGGTATTTATGTCTGGATAACAAGCATAAGCAGAGCTAAAAGAGCTAAACATAAAATTACCCCGACACGACAAGAGGTGACAATATAATACTGCTGTACTGTCAAGATTAAGAAAGTTAGGAATTGGAGAGAAAATTCTGACTGTACTAACGGATATGCAGCTTAAGAAAAGTACCACTGGGTTTAGAAGTGAGGCATTAGCAGCAAATGCTTTACATCCTGCAAGTTGCAAAGTGGGGCCTCCATGGATCGGATTTGCTTTTCCAGAACATCCTACAGATTAAGATCTGGTAAATTTGGAGGCAACAGCTTGAACTCTTTGTCATGTTCCTCAAACCATTCATGAACAATGTTTGCAGTGTGGCAGGGTGCATTATCCTGCTGAAAGAGACCATGCTATCATGGAACACCATAGCCATGAAGGGGCAACAATCTCTAGGTAGGTGGTACATATCAAAGTAACATCCACACAAATGCCAGAATCCAAGGTTGATCCAAGGTTTCTCAACATAACATTGCTCAAAGCACACCTCCTCTGCCGCCTTGCCTTCTTCCCATAGTGCATCATGCTGCCATCTGTTCTCCAGGTAAATGGTGCACACGCACCCAGCCATCCACCTGATCTAAAAAAAAAAATATGATTCCTCAGACCAGGCAACCTTCTTCCATTGCTCTATGGTCCAGTTCTGACGCTCATGTCCCCTAGGTGAAATTCTTTCATCAGAGTCTGTACAGATGTTTAAAACAACAACTGGATGAATACTTGCAAAAACATGATATTCAGGGAAATATTTTTTTGATATGTGGGGTAACCACTTATAGATCCAAGGAGAGATCTGACTGCCAGTCTGGGGTTGTGAAGGAATTTTGTCCCCTAGTTTGTTGCAAAACTGGAAGCACTTCAAACTGAGTTTATAGCCTTCTTTTGGATCAACAGCAAAAACTAATAGGAGTAATGTTGAACATGACAGGCGCAAGCCTTTTTTCTGCTTATCTATGTAAC